TTTTCCCATGATGCCATTTTCATACTCCTCAGGCTAGTAGTCAATTATCGACGGGTTTTTTCGCACGTTTGAAGAAGTAGAACGGGGTTTCCGACGAAAAAGAGTTATTAATAATAATTAGTCTCGCTAAAATTAGGAAACGCCAACAGTATCTGTTGATAATATAAAGTTAAACAACTTCCTGCTAAAATATGAATGTAAGAGTCATAAATTAGTGAGTAATTAAGATATAAAAAATATACAGGGGAGACTTTTGAACGTAAGGGTCTTTTGAACTCCTAACAACCGTGATGGATTGAGAACAGTGTTTCTTATGTGGCCATTTTTTTTATTATACTTCGAAAATATGAAAGAAAGTTGATTTGTGTAACCATAGCGACACATTATGCAATGTAATGACGTACTTGCTGTTTTGTGTGTTTTGAAAAACACGATATTTTTTTCTGGGTGTGTGTAGTTTTCCTCAAGAAAAGCATGTTGTGGTGTTATCGCTCTCGTAGATGACACATCAATATCTCTCCCTACGATATCACTATACAATATGACTGCAATGATGGTGATTCCAACCATTACAAGGAATGATATGTACTGAAATAAAACCAAAAATCATTATACCACAGTGCAAAATAATGATATCATTTCAATGAATGTAATTCTATTGATACGATGTGGTCAGAATGGTGACGGTGTATGTATAAACTTTGTGTTTGGCATATATAGCTGTAGCTTAATTATAACACGTAACAAATGTATATGGAATAAACAGTGCAGAAGGCATTTTAGGCAAACATCCTCGTTCGAGCCATATTATCATGCATAATTGGAGTTCTGAGTCCTTTCATGAAAATTAAATTTTCGTAAAGTCGTACGTGCAGTGGTAACTTGAAAAAGAAGAAGTCAGTCTGGTACTTGCGTTGTACACGCCTGTATTTTGTCACGCACGAAACTTTCACTAGGGAACTACATGATATGTAAAACGAATGGGTTAACGTGAGTGAAAAATGGAGGGGAGAGGGAGTTGTTCGAACGATCTTTACAATTGTGAGGAAGACTAAATCAAGCACAATCTTATATGTATGTTCGTATATTGGCCTTAAACTAATGGCCTGTTGTAATAACAGGTCTGCACGTGGTACAGATCGAGTAATGTAAACGCGGAAGTTCATTAATTAGCAACGTGGTTAAGTGATATAACATACTGCTATATCTCATTGCCAAAACCATGCGATATAATTGATTTTGGATCTCACAAATTGTTTCCAAAGTAAACCACATCGTCATCATGATATCCTGAGCAAGGTGTTAAAATATGGATATATACTCCAGATAAAGAAAGTGTAATATTCTTCCAATCCAATGAAACTTACAAGCTGTTGTGCTGGCGCCATTTCAGTGCTTTAGTGGGAATTGCAGAACTAGACTGCGTCACTTCCTGTAAAGAAAATGAATGTCCGTTTGAATTGGAAGCTTTATTTCAGATACAATAAAATGCATAAACATTGTTGGATTAAATGTGCATAAATAAAACAGCGATTCCACCTTCGGATATTTACCACCTTAGTTACAAGAGCCGTGCACGTGAACAAAAACAAGTTTATCTGGTCTGATGTCAATATATGTAAAATACTATATTATATACTGTGACACATAAAATATTATCCGTTATTGGATTGCACTTGAAGAATTGAGCTTAATCGGATAATACAATACAAAAGTACATGTGCAAGGCATTTTTCAAAACAGGTTCTTGCACAAACTTTTACAGAAAAATGAATAATTTTGACCAGTCACATGGTTCGCCTGGATTTCAGCCATAATTGGTCAAAATTGAAGAATAAGTTAAAACATACTCATGTTTCGACACTCCCCGGTACCAATGCTCAGTTTGTTTTGTTCTTTCTAATCACACTTCCTGTTTTTTTGCATTTCCACACTAATCTTAGTATTGGAGTGGATTGTTTCAAAATATTTTAATTTAACTTTGCTTTTGGTGCTTTTAAACAAATAAGTCAAACTATGTACTCTTATTTACTTATTTCTACTTTTAAATTTCAGTTTTATAAATGTTTCTAGTGTGTATCCCATATGAAGCAAAGTGACCTACATGTCGTTTATATTCACTATAAACTTAACATGTCAAACTGTCGTAAAGACCATAGGCATTTCCAGTCGCGAACATGACTAGTAACTGTGAGCCCGCACAGCGTTGTAAATCACAACTATACAATATTTAGCAAGGTCCCATTCGTTGTAGCTAAAGTACAAAAACGGGGTCTCATAGACGATAGTAGGTAAATATTGAGTAAAATTATGTTTTGCTCAAGAATTCTAATAAGGAATCCTTATGTTCTCTATGAAACAGTTAAGAACCCGCACGTTGAACTAGAATTGCGTGAGACCATAATTGTCAACTGGTATTTACTGGTGATATTGAAAATTCTTGAAATCTAGTACTGAAATACATATAACGACATATCAAGAAAAGAAAGTGTAAACAAAAATGTTGGGTACACGTGTACGTAAAAAGATATCCCCTCAAAGGGAAGTTTTGCTCACTGTTTCCGACATGGATTCCTTGTTTGATTTGGTGATTGCTAACCATAACTTTGCTCACTACAACCAACCTCCTTATAGATTGACCTTCATGAGTTCATAGACCCTTTCAGCAGTATCTCACACATGTATGGTCCTATCAAGTTTAAATGGGATCGTACATATATACTTTATTTTCAAGATACAATTCAAGATGTTCCTATGATATTTTACGGCCGGAAATACATTATATCACACATTTCGTCTTTCCAGCACCGCATTTCAGTCGGATATATGCACATGTACTTGCTTTACGATCTGATTCAATATGGCCGAAATACGGTGCTCAATTCGTTGAACATGTACGGCATTTAATCTTTCGAATTTAGTTCAAAATGATCGAATCGCAGCTATTTCGAATCTACATATTTTCACAATCACACGTTCACTATTTCTGGGTCGACTTGGTTCATGTATTAAACACAATAAGACACAGCATTCTATTTTCTAAATTGAGTTCAAACCAACTGCGATTTTGTTTTAATGAATGCAGTTCGGATTCATATATTTGAAATACCTAGACCGATCAAGTTTGAACTTCACGCATCATATCGAACATATGTACTTTTTTTTCATGATTCCATTCAAAAAGAGCGAATGGCCTTCAAGTCCTGTATATTCATTTTAATCTCATAAAACCATAAAAGTCCATTCAATATAGAAATGGTCGCACAGCGCTAGGATACAAAACTATCAATCATTAACACATGACCTGATTTACGTAAGCTCAAGGACTTCACCGTTATATGTACATAGTTTTTGTGCTACCAGTCAAACATATGTTATTAAAACTAATATGTTTGAATTAGTTTGATATAACATTTATTTTATTGAAGCAGTTGTATATTCAATATTTTTCAAATTCTATTCTTTGGTCGGTCAAAATATGTTGTCCTCACAATCATGACGTTATCTCAAATTTAAAAACCAAGTTGAAAATTTCTCACAGAGATTTATAAAAGAAAACACTAAAGAATGGCTGCGTATAATTCAAACTTCCGCGAAAGCTCATTTCAAATAGTTGAACAAAACAATGTTGGCATACTCTTTTATATTGACTTACCTCACTAAAGAATGGCTGCGCATAATTAAAATAAAGAAATAAAAACAACCTGGTCATTTCAAATGGTTAAACAGAAACAATGTTAACATACTGTTTTATATTGACTTACCTCAAAATGTCAAGATAATGAGTGAGAGCAAGTTAGATACAACACCGAGTAACATATACGTGTTGTGATATAATCGATCATCGGATTAGGCACGGGATTCGTCAGCAATAGCCAGGTAAATTACATCACATGCTCGATAGAACTAGCCACAGTTAACATCACGTACCTGATATCAATGAGGGCGGTATAACAGATGATTCGAGTGTTCATGTTTTTCTGGAAACGCTTTTAATCTGTATACTACGATATCACATTGAACAATTGAAGATGCGATAAGGTATGAATACCACAAAAAAATTCCACAATAAAAATTGAAAATGTGCATAAAGGTATCATGCTTTTTTTCAAAACAAATACCTTGTATTATAGCTTATTTTGTCTCAAACAAAATCGATGCTAACACATTGTACATGGTGAGCAGATACTATAAGGTGATTGAATAATTGTGTTCATACTTGATGAGGTTGATTTCCAACACTCCTTTGGTAGAGAACTACACTATGTCCTGTGCATCTTTCACAGTCTGTCGGTGTCTTGTTTATCTATAAAATATGCTCTGATATTAATTGATTGTTTGATTGGCGTGTACCCCTTCAGTAAATGCCTAAAACAGGGTACGTAATTAAGACTACCCGAGGTATATAACATGATTGTTCGAGAAAGTTTTCTTTTGCAAAACACATAAACAATATAAATTTAAAATCCAATGGACACAAAACACCGGGATCTATTGCAGAATAAAACCCTCTCATCATCTACGAAGCAAAAACATACATTACATTATCAATACATTGTTGAGGACTGACTGATATGTTAACAATGATTCCACTAACTATGTGCAGTTATACTAATTATAATAATAAAATATTTTTTTCAAGTGAAATGGATGTATTCAAAAATGTTCATTTACTTAATATAAACCGGACATGGTCCATGTTATTATTTACCCAATTAAATAATATAAAATTACTGTAAATATGTTAAAAGAATATTCTAGTG